TCCTCCGTGAACGCCGGCGCCGACGTCGACGCGTCCGCGGACCCGCCGCCGCCGCCGCCGCCGCCGCTGCCGCGGTCGACGCGGTCCAACGCTCTCGCGGCGTCCTCCTCGTCGATCGCGACCCTGCACACGGGACACGAGATGACGTTCCTCCTCTCCGCCTCGAGCGCCTCTTCCGACCCGACCGGGTGCGCGGGACCGCTCGCGCGCGCGTCTTCGTCGCGCGTCTCGAGCCTCCATCGCCACCACCGCGCGAAGCACGCCGCGTGGAAGCAGTGATAGCACCGCGTCATCTTCACGACGTTCTCGTCGCCGCCGCCGCCGCCGCCGCCGCCGTCGCCGCCGCCGCCGCCCTCCTCGTCCTCCTCCTCGCCCGCCGCGCGCGCGACCGCGTCTAGGCAGAACACGCAGTCGCCGTCCGGGTGATTCAGCGTCGTCATCGTCTCGAACGCGGTCTCGCAGAGGAGCGCGAGGACGGGATCTCCCGCGGAGGCGCACTCGACGCGCGCCGTCTGAAGCGCGTCGAGGACGACGCCCTGCCTGCGGTCGTCGAGCCCGCGCGCGTCCGTCAAATTGATCGACGGCGACGACTCCGGGTACGACGCGTCGAGGGTCAAGACGAGCGTCGCGCGGACGTACTGACGCGTCGCGTCGTCGAGCGTCCGCGGGGTCACGTCCAAGGCGACGACGACGACGACGGCGTCGCCGTCGTCGTCGCCGCCGCCGCCGCCGCCGGACGCGCGCTGGACGCGCAACCCCTCGGGGTACAGCGCCTCGAGCGCCTCGAGCTCCTCCTCGAGCGCGGCGTCGGCCGCCATCCGCGAAGGAGGCCGCGGCGCCGCGCGCGATGGCGCGTTGAAACAATGATGCAGCGGGTGCCGTAAGCTTCAGACGACTCGCGCGAGGGCGACGGGAAAAAGGGGATAAGCCGCTCGAGCCGCGCGCGCGACCGCACACCCCGCAGTCGCGCACGCGTCCCCGAGCACCGCGCGCTCGCGAGTCTTCTCCTCGCGCGAACCGAATCGTCGCGCTCGGAACCCGCGCCGGCGACGCGTCCGCGGCCATGGCGTCATCGCTCGCGTCGTCCAACGTCGCGAATGGGGTCCTCGGTCGCCGTCACCGTCACGGCGGCGGCGTCGACGGCCTCCGCGCGAGGGCGCACGCGTCCGCGTCGTCCTCGCGCGCGCGCGCGCCCGCGCGCGTCCTCGCGCACGGGCCCGGCGGAGGGAAACATCTCGACCCGACGGTGCGTCCGCGCGTCGCGCGTCGCGTCCCGGCGACCAACCGTCCCGCCGCCGACGCGTCGAGGCGCGCGCGACGTCGATCGAGGTTTTATTAGGGCGAATTCGACTCGCCTCGCCTCGCCTCGCCTCGCGATACCCCGCTCGCCGCTCACTCGCGATACCCCGCCCGCCTCTCTTTTCCCGCTCGCAGGACGTCCCGAAGCGCTCGAGCGCGCCCGTCGGCGTCGCCGGCGCGGTCGCGGAAGCCCCCGAGACGCCGTCGCCGCGCGAGCGGAAGAACGTGTACACGGAGACGTACGGGTGTCAGATGAACGTGAACGACTCCGAGGTGATGCTCTCGGTGCTCGCCGACAACGGGTACGACACCACGGACGACGTCCACGACGCGGACGTTATCTTAATCAACACGTGCGCGATACGCGATAAGGCCGAGGCGAAGATATGGCAGCGGCTCGCGTACTTCAAGTCGCTCAGACGGCGGAGGAAGAAGAACGAGAAGCCCGTCGTCGGCGTCCTCGGATGCATGGCGGAGCGACTCAAGACGCAACTCCTCGAGGCGGATCAACTCGCGGACCTCGTCGCGGGGCCGGACGCGTACAGGGACCTCCCGAACCTGATCTCCGCGGTCAACTCCAGCGGCGAGAAAGCGATGAACGTCCAGCTCAGCGTGGAGGAGACGTACGCGGACATCGTGCCCGTGCGGAAAGAGGGCGCGCACGCGGCGTTCGTGACCATCATGCGAGGGTGCGACAACGCGTGCTCGTTTTGCATCGTGCCGTACACGCGCGGACGCGAGCGGAGCCGCGACCCGGCGTCGATCGAGTACGAGGTCCGCTTGCTCTCGGAGCAAGGCGTCAAGGAGGTGCGTTCATATTTATTACCACACCGGTCCCCATACGACCCCGTCGGCGTCGTGAACGCCGATCCGTAAGGACTTTTCCCGGCGTCTCTCTCCGCCCACTCCTCGGTTTCAACGCTCGACCCTACGACGCCTTTCAACTCCACCACTGACGCCTTTCAACGCCACTCCAGGTGACGCTGCTGGGGCAAAACGTGAACAGCTACGCGTACGTCGCGGAGGAGGGCGCGGGCGCGGACGGTGCGACGGATTTTCTGTCCAAGCTGACGGTCGTCCCGGGCGTCGGGAAGGGCGTCGGCGTCGGCGGGGATCTGAAGCATACGGCGGACGCGGCGGTCGAGGCGAACGCGTCCACGTTAGACGCGGTCGGCGGGAACGTCGCCCCGAGCGAGTTCACGGCGTTCAGCGGGTACGCCGCGGGTTTTTCGTCGCGGTACAAGCCGGAGACGCGTCGGGAGGGGTCGATGCAATTCGCCGCGTTGCTCGACCGCGTCGCGAGCGTCGACCCGGAGATGCGCGTGCGGTTCACGTCGCCGCACCCCAAAGACTTCCCGGACGAGGTGTTGGAGGTGATTAAGAATCGTCCGAACGTGTGCAAGTGTCTGCACATGCCCGCGCAGAGCGGTAGCACGACGACGCTGGAGCGGATGGCGCGCGGGTACACGCGCGAGGCGTACCTGGATCTGATAAAAAACGTACACGAAAAGATCCCGGGGTGCGCAATCACCACGGACATCATCACCGGCTTCTGCGCGGAGACCGAGGAAGAACACGAAGACACTGTGAGTCTGATGAAACTCGTCAAGTACGAGCAGGCGTTCATGTTCGCGTACTCGGAGAGAGAGGGCACCGCGGCCGCGAGGAAGATGTCGGACGACGTCGACGACGACGTGAAGCAGCGGCGGCTCGCGGAGATCATCGACGCGTTTCGATCCTCGGCGTCGGAGCGAAACGAGCGCGAGATTGGACGCGTGCACCTGTGCCTCGTCGAGGGCGTCTCGAAGAAGAACGACAGGGAGCTCACGGGGAAGACGGACACGTCGAAGTGGGTCGTCTTCGCGGACGACGACGTCGGAATCTACGACGGCGGCGACGATGACGCGGCCGCCTCCTCCGAGGCGAAAAAGTCGCCGCCGAAGCCCGGCGAGTACGTCGCGGTGTTGGTGACCGGGTGCAGCACCGGGACGCTGTTCGGGACGTGCTTGGGGCGGACGAGCTTGGTCGCGTTCGACAAGATGCACGGGGGGGCGTTTAAGGAGGCGTCGGAGGAGACGGCGAAGGCGAGCGCGGCGGCGGGGGCGCGGTAGCGACGAGAACATATTCTATCGACGAGTGTGATGAGCCGAATGCCGAATCTGCGAGCCGCCCGCCAAACGAATTACCGCTTCCGACCGAAGAGGACGCGGAGACGACGCGCCTCGCGCGCACAGTCGCTCGCGCCGAACGACCCACGCTCACGCGCATTCAAATCCCCCTTCGCTCACGATGGTGCGCGCTCGCGCGCGCGCGGAAATCCGCTCAAACTCCCCGCGACCGCTCGTCTCCCGCCCGATCGAGCGCGTCCGAATCTTGCCGTCGTTCGGCATCGCCTGACGATCCATCCGTCGCCCCGCGCGCGCCGATCCGATCCTCCGCAGGCACAGGCGGACAACCGGCACACGATCATCCTCGTCCAGCCCACGGGGGCGAAGACGTCGAGGACGTTCCTCGATTACGAGAAGGTCAGCCTCGCCATGGACGGTGCGCGCGCGCTCCCCTCCGGTCTCCTCGCCCGCCCCGCGGCTCCGCGCGACCGAAGAGACGAATAAACATCAGGCACCCTCGCTGACGACGAACGAACCGAACGCGAACGCGCGACCACCCCCCTCCCCATCCCCCGCCCCTCCTCGCAGGCGTGTGCCAGATGTTCGAGAGGCGCCTGAAGGAGATGTACCCGAAGCTCAGGGACATCACGTACGACATCCACGACCTGTACAACTACATCGACGCGTTGAACGATCTCAGCGCGCTGGTGTACGAACCCTCGGCGAACGCGTACCTTCCGTATAACAAAGAGTGGATAAAGAAACGGGCGTTCTCGCACCTGAAGAAACAGGCGGGACGCTGAGCGTATCATATCGTAGGTGACGTCGTGTGAGGTGTACATTAGACATTGTAGCAGCGAATACTCGCACGCGACGGACGATCGATCGCCGACCCGACGACGCCCGCCCCCGAATGCGATTCGGCGGTTCTCTCGCGTCGTCACCGCGGGTCCCCCCCGGCGTCTTCTCTTCCTCCTCCTCCGCCGCCGCCGCCGCGGACGTCCAACCCCATCAGCTTCGCGACCTCGTCGTCGACCTCGTCCGCCTCGCGGTCGACCAAGCACGTCACGATGAACGGCCCTTCCGACCCCGTCCTCGCGGTTCGCCCGCATCGATGCAGATGCATCTCCGCCGTCGCCGCGGGGGTGTACTGAATCACGTGAT